TCCAGCCCTGCACCTTGTTGTCATAGTATTTTATGATTCTGTTTAGATCAGGAAGATTCCAAAACTTGTCATTGAATCAATGCCAAATGTCTAAATAAACTTCTGTTAAGGAAGTAATGTGCATAAACTCAAGTCAGCAGAATCACTACAAGCCTTTTCTGCAGGAGTGCCTCTATTGTCAAACTATTGATAGCGGAGACAGCAATTCTTGGCAGACCTCATTCAACTCATTTCCAAAATGTCATTCTTTCTGTGTACACATGTCTGAAGGTCCAAATTTATCAGAGAGCGCTCCAATCAGATGCCCTAATTTCCCAACAACTGTTGCATACATGGGTTTTGAAAAAAGCGTTTAATAAAGTATTTTACATGTGAGCAAGGTGATAGCCTTTGGGATTAAACAGATAGTGGTAGCATGGATTCAAAAGAGACAGAAAGCAGAGAATAGTGAATTATTGTTTTATAGACATGATAAAGGCACACAGTGATTTTTCCTAAGTCACTTTCAGCACTGCTCTTTTAAACACATACTAATAGAATCATAGCTATGCAGCACCTTTGGTCCAACTCGTCCATGCTGACCAGATATCCTAAACTGATCTAGCCCCATTTGCCAGCATTTGGCCAATATCCCTCTAAATGATTTGGACTTGGACATAGAAGCCATTATTTCAAAATTCACTGACGCCACAAAGCTCAAGAAATGTAGTAAACAAAGAAGAAGATAGAAGGCTATTTTTACCTGCATGGCTATCTAAGTGACTTTGATTGAACTCGAGATGAACAATCAATTCAATTGATTTCAGGAGCCCAGTAAAATAGCTAGGCTTAAGGCAAATGAAATTTAACTTTGAATGATGCACTTTAGGAAAAAGCAATTAGACAGGCAATAGAAACTAATACAATTTTGAAGGAGGTACAGGAGTTCAGACCAAATGATCAAAATTATATAGAAACCGAAAACAGGAATTTATTTCATCTTCAATGAAGTCTGTACAAATTCAGAAAGCTGTTGAGAATTTAATGGAACCCTTGGTCTTTATAAACTGATGTATCAAGTACAAAGAGAAGAAAGTTTTCAGAATTTTTAAAAAATGTAGCCACTTGCTATGTCACAAGATGCTTGCTTGAAAGGGTGTTGAAAGCAATTTCAACAAGATCTCAAAAGTGAATGATAAATAGATGAAGAGGAAAAGAAGTTGCATTTTTATAGGGACAGGCAGGGAAATAGAATGTGGGGACAAGTACAACGGGCCGAATAGCCTCTTTCTGTGTTGCATCCTTCTAGGATTCCTGCAAAAACATTGGGTGCTGAAACGTATTCAGGACGCATCTGCTGGGTCTCCTCAATGTAAAATGTGCGAATGTCAGAATTTGATTACTGGCAAGTGCTTTGGAAATTCAAGGGTTTTTTTTCCTAGATTTTGGAAGCAAGATAATTCTTACAACTGATTCACAACCCTCAAAAATTTGCAAAAATAAAGAAGTTGAGAAATGGATTTTTACAAATCTTGAAATTTTAAGCACATTTAATAATTGTTTGTGACCTGTGATGGTTTCGTTTGGAGTGAAAAACTTTTCCCGTCCCAGAGTACCTGAAGCTATCAGCATTCCAAAAGGGCAAGGCAAATGGACATGTTTTTTTAAGATGACAGTATTAAGAGGAAGAGAAAGATTTCATGCTTTTCTGTGAGCATTGTTCACTAACAAAAGAACCAAAGAATCCAGGTAGAACTATTTGATACCATTAAGAAAAAAATACATGAATAAAAGTAATTTAAATTGATTTCATTATTAGTTTATAATAAATGCTAAATTACACCAGATCTCCATATTTTATCACTTCAGCGCTTGCAATCTTACAGTCATAAAGCAAACTTAAACAGACCTGTAGCTGTTGGGAAGGCATTTCCTCCTGACACAGTTTGTGCTCCCTTGGTTGATTGTCCACATCAACCAATGCAATTCCACGATGTTGCAGATACTCCACAAAACTACTGTCAAGTCGTTCAGTTATTTCAAGCTCTTGATTTAGCTTTGCACCCAGATCCAAACTTGCGTCTGTGGAAGGAAATTTAAGAGAGATACTTTTTTTTTCCATTCCTCATATCAAGTCTGCAATTTTATTAAATTTCTGGTCCACCCATTTCTTACTAAGATCGTGAAAGAACACTTGCCATTAAATAATTAAAATAGTTGATTATGGACAATTTAAAGTTTAAAAACTGCAGCTTGGAATCCAAGACAATTCATCCAAAACCTTAGATTACAACAAAATTCTGAAATCTAAATGTTCTGTTTATCCAATTATAAAACCAATTGTCATTCTACAAATATATAGAAACATAGAAGATAGGAGCAGGAGGAGGCCATTCAGCCTTTCCAGCCTGCTCGTCCATTCTTCACAATCTTGGCTGATCGTCCAACTCAATAACCTAATCCTGCTTTCTCCCCATAACCTTTGATCTCATTCGTCCCAAGTGCTATATCTAGTTGCCTCTTTAATACATTCAATGTTTTGGCATCAGCTACTTCCTGTGGTATGAATTCCACAGGCTCACCACTCTTTGGGTGAAGAAATGTCTCCTCATCTCCATTCTAAATCGTCTACCTTGAAGCCTCATATTGTGACCCCTGGTTCTGGACACATCCACCATTGGGAACATCCTTCCTGCAACTACCCTGTCCAGTCCTGTTAGAATTTTAAGTCTCTATGAGATCCCCCCTCATTTGTCTGAACTCCAGTGACAACAATCCTAACCGAGTCAATCTCTCCTCATACATCAGACCCACCATCCCCGGAATCAGCCTGGTTAAAACTTCGCAGCACTCCCTCGATAGCAAGAGCATCCTTCCTCAGAAAAGGAGACCAAAACTCTCACAATATTCTAGGTGTGGCCTCACCAAGGCCCTGTATAACTGGAACAATATATCCCTGCTCCTGCACTCAAAACCTCTTGCCATGAAGGCCACATACCATTTGCCTTCTTTACTGCCTGCTGCACCTGCATGCTTACCTTCAGCAACTGGTGCACAAGGACGTCCAGGTCCCGCTGCACACTCCCCTCTCTCAATTTACAGCCATTCAGGTAGTAATCTGCCTTCTTGTTTTTGTTTCCAAAGTGAATAACCTCACATTTATCCAAATTATACTGCCATTGATTTGCCCACTTACCCAACCTGTTGAGATCATGCTGAAGGATCTCTGCATCCTTGTCACAGTTCACCCTCCCACCCACCTTGGCATCATCTGCAAACTTGGAGATGTTACCTTTGGTTCCCTCATCCAAATCATTATTATATACTATCAATAGCTGGGGTCCCAGCACCGATCCCGGTGTCACCCCACTAGTTACTGCCTGCCAATTTGAAAAGGACCCTACTCTTTGTTTCCTCTCTGCCAACCAGTTTCCTATCCATCTCAATACACTTCAATCTTGCATATTAATCTCTTACGTAGGACTTTGTCAAACACTTTCTGAAATCCAAATATGCTACATCAACTGGGTTCCCTTTGTCAACTCTACTAGTTACATCTTCACAGAATTCCAACAGATTTGTCAAGCATGATTTCCACTTTATATATCTATGTTGACTCTGTCTGATCCTGCCACTGCTTTCTAAATGCCCTACTATAAAACCCTTGACAATGGATTTGAGAATTTTCCCCATTACCCACGTTAGGCTCACCAGTCTATACTTAACTGCTTTCTCTCTACCTTCCTTTTTGAATATTGGAGTGACATTAGCCACCCTCCGATCTGCAGGGACTATTCCACAGTCTACAGAATCCCGGAAGGTGACTAGCAATGCATCCACTTTTTCTACAACTACTTCCTTAAGTACTCTGGGATGTAGATTATTAGGCCCTGAGGATTTATCCATGGATGAGCAATCCATTAGCATCTAGTCCTCATCTTAATAAGAAATCACACAGAAAAACAGGCATTAAATGTATCCTAGAATAAGTTAATCTTTATCGTAAGCAGCCTACTGTAGTCCTTAACATTCCTAGTCTTATAGGGTTAGAGGGAAAAAACAGCTCAAAGAAATGAACTTTAGTAGTGTGTCTACAGATGCTGAAGATCAGAAATCAATTGTTCTTTTTAAAAATATTCATAACATATTAAACATCTGCCTGTTAAAATTAGACATTTGCTGTAGATAAAATTGACACGCTTCTTGAATGAAAGCCTATTAGACAATGGAGGCAGGGAAAGAATGTTGCTATCAAAGACCCTGTTTGCATTCAATCCTCAGTTTCCAGTTGGAGGTCAGTCTTGTGCATGGTGAACGAACATGCTCTTATACATTTGATTAAGAACTGCTTCCAGTCCAGTGTTTTTAGATGTCGATAAGAATGGGGAAACTGTTCCATTTTGTTTCAATGGCACACTTACTGCTGCCACAGCCTTCACTTATCCAGTCAGGGATTGACACTGTTGATGCTCTATCTTCCTGCAAGGCTGACAGTGTTACTTCTACTTTTGCATCATTTTGTACCTATGGTGGAAAAAAATAACAACCATGAAGAATGTCTGTCTTCCATCTTCAAAAATGTGACATTCAATTCATCCTAGCTTAAAAACATGAAAGACAACTTCTGACTCAATAGTTTAGGTATTGGGCGGCATGGTGGCTCAGTAGTTAGCACTGCTGCCTCACAGCACCGGGTTCGATTCCACCCTCGGGTGACTGTCTGTGTGGAGTTTGCACATTCTCCCTGTGTCTACGTGGGTTTCCTCCGGGTGCTCCGGTTTCCTCCCACAGTCCAAAGATGTGCAGGCCAGATGGAGTGGCCAGGCTAAATTCCCCGTAGTGTTCAGGGATGTGTAGATTAGATGGGTTATAGGGGAACGGGTCCGGGTGGGATGTTCTGAGGGTCGGTGTGGACTTGTTGGGCCGAAGGGCCTGTTTCCACGATGTGGAGGATTTTATGATTCTATGTACCGAGCAGCAGAAGAACCAGAATCGCTATATACACTTGACTCAGAAGAGATCCATCTCATTTAAACGAAAGTCAACAGCATTACAGAAGTTATAGTCTCTCGCAGATGGACCGGTTCCAGAATCCCCTATGCAGCAATTCAGTCTTTACACTTCCTGGCTCTGACCTATGTGGTTTAATGCTTCTGTTAAGCAGGATTTGGGAACAATACATTTGATTCAGAAATTCTTTTCTAATTTCCATTACTTTTCCTAGCTGATTGAGGACATGCTGTAAACTAAAATGCCTAAAAATAAACGTATAAAAAGGGCAAATATCCAACTTAAACCAAGGGGTGAAGAGGAAATAAAAATGTAGGCCAGCATCATGAGAGGTGAACCAGATGGAGTTCTACAATTCGATACTGATTGAGTCATCACATTTCAAGGATCAATGAAGTTGAATAATGTTTTAAAACTGACTTTTTTTCCTTTCTCACCTTCTCTGCATCAGAGGATTCTGAGAGTGTTTGTTCATAATCAGATGGTGCTGAAGAATTCCCATGCAGTTTGTCTTTGTTAATGCTCTGGTCCTCTCCATCTATATCTTTCTCAAATCCGAGTGATCTGCTGTGCACTGTCTCTGTACTGTGCACACCACTGATTTCAGAAATCCTCCGTGAGTGCAGTCCATTCAACCATTCCAGACTTTCGTCATACTTTCTCATAACTTCTGGAGAACTTAGCAAGCTCTCATTGATAGCTTGATTGTAGAAACATGACTGATGCCCATCTTGGCCAACAGTCTGTGAAGATTCTTTGTAATCTGAAGAACTGACTTGTGGCTTATCGACTTCCAAGTTGGACAGTCGCAGCAATTCAAGTCCTTGCTGACGACATTTTTCAGTTAAGTCTTCTACTTCCTTTGCTCGATTAGCAAGTTCCTCCTCTTGCTGCAAAAGGGCTTCTTGAAGTTGATTCACCTGGGTTTTCAGGTTACATGTGTGGATCTCTAAGTCAGCAATTATCTGGTCTTTTTCCTTCAAAGGAAGTGACAAAGGCAAACAGTGTAATCAGTTATTTAGCGAATTTAAGAATTCAAAACCGCAGGTATGCCCTGCTCCAGAACAAACCGAAGTATTTTTGTACCACAATACTGAACTACAGACTCTGGAGGCTGTCAGTGAGCTATATGTTCTAATGATATCTAGCAGCAGATTGCTGACAGATGTTTTGCAAATTAAAATTTACACTCAGAAACAGAAACAAAACAAAAACAATGCTGGAAATCTAAAGTGCTAATGAAAAGCTAGAATAAACAAAATGTTTAAAAACAAAATGTAACAAAGCTTGGCACTTTTTTCAATATAGATTGGAGATCAATACAGGTTCTCAAAATGGTAAAATTTTCAGCAAATGGGGCCCTGTGAGGCCCAAATTTGGTTCCTGGAAGGGCAAGTGGGTGAGCGGGTCTGCCAATGCGTTAGAACAGAGAACACAGAGAAAGTGGTCACACATCCAGGTGAACTAAACATACAAGAAGAAAGCTGGCTACAGATCTGTACCAAAATATATTGTGAATATCCCTTGGGTAAAATTAGAATCATGGTGTCATATAGTACTGAAGCGGACCTTTGGTCCATCGAATCTGTACCACCAAAAATACATGACTAACTACATTAGTCCCACTTTCCTGCACTAGGCCCACAACCTTGAATGTTATGAAACTTCAAGTGTTCATCAAAGTACTTTTTCCAACTACACTCCCAGGCAGTGCATTCCAGACCCCTCCCACTCTCTGGATGAAAAAATATTTCCTCAGATTCCTTGTGGCCTTCACTTTGAAAGTGTGCCCCCTTGTTACTGACCCTTCAACTAGCTGTTTTCTGTCCACCCCGTCCATATCCCTCATAACTGTATACATTTCAAGTCCCCCACACCCACCTTTCTTTGCTCCAAAGAAAACAATCTCATCTCATTCAGCCTCTCTGCATAACTAAAACGCTCCAACCCAGGCTTTCCTCTGAATCTCCTCTGGTCACCTCTACAGCAATCACATCCTTCCACTAGTCTGGTGACCAGAACTGCATATAGTGCTCCAGCTATGGCCCAACCAAAGTTCGGCACAGTCCAACATAATCTTCCTGCTGTCATAATCTATGCCTTGACTATTAAAGGTATGCACTGCCTGGCACTGCACACCAGGCTCCAGTCACATAAATAGCCTTCAACCACCACCCTGTGTTTCCTGTCACTAAGCCAATTTTCAATCCAACACTTCTGAAGAAGCGTCACTGGATTGGAAACGTTAACCGTACTTTCTTTTCACAGGTGCTGCCAGACCTGCTAAATTCTCCAGCGGTATCTGTTGTTATGTAGGCTGTTAACCTGTCCTGCCACCTTCAGGGATCTCAGATCAAGCACCCTAAGATCCCTCTTTTCTTTTGAGTTTCCAAGAGTTCTGCCATTTATTGAGTACTCACGTATCTTTTTACTTCTTCCAAGGTGTATCACCTCACAATTACCAGGGTTAAATTCCATCTGATGTGATCAAACTGTTTATATCCACCTGTAACCGAAGACCTTCTTCCAAAATGTTAACCACCCAGCTAATCATTCTGTCATCTGCAAACTTGCTTATTATTCCCTCCAAACCCCACATTCTCATTTACTTGGTTTATGAATATCACAAACAATAAGGGATCCAGGATTGATCCTTGTGATACACCACTGGACACTGGATTCCACTCACACAAACATCCTTCCACCACTACCCTATGTCTCCTGTCACTAAACCAATTTTAGAGTCAGAGTTATACAGCATGGAAACAGGCCCTTCTGACCAACTCGTCCATGCCAACCGGATGTCCTAAACTGATCTGAATAGGAAGGGCTAAGACTGATATGGGCCAAATGCCAGTCTAAGCCTTTCCTATTCATCTATCGATCCAGATGTGTTTTAAATGGTATAATTGTATCTGCCTCCACCACTTCCTGTGGCAGCTCGTTCCATACACACGCCACCCTCTGCGTGAAAACGTTGCCCCTCAGGTCTCTGTTAAATCCTTCCCCTCTCACCTTAAACCTATGCCCTCCAGTTCTGGACTCCCTTACCCTGGGAAAAAGGCCTTGCTATTTATCCTATCCAGGATGTGAGCGCCACTGGCTAGGCGAACATTTACTACTTATCCCTAATTGCCCAGAAGGCAGCCAAGAGTCAACCACATTGCTCTGGAACTGGAGTCACATGTAGGCCAGACCAGTTTCCTGGTCAAAGGGCAGCAGTTTCCTTCCCTAATGGCCATTAGTAAACCAGATAGGATTTTCTGACAACAGGCAATATTCCACAGTCAACATTAGATCCTTAATTCTAGATTTGTATTGAATTCAAATTCCATCATCTGTTTTTAGATTCAAACCTAAAGCATTTACTGATTTTTCAGATTAGTTGTCTAACAATAAGACCACTAGGCTATCATCTTTACCAGGATGATGCCTATGCTGAAAAATTTCAGTTTTGAAGAAAGATTGGAAAGACTGTGGAGTGGACAAGGGAGTCGCGGAAAGAACGGTCCCGATGAAAAGCAGATAGGGGTGGGGAGAGAAATATATCTTTGGTTATTGGTTAGATTGTAGGTGGCGGAAGTGACGGAGAATGATACGTTGAGTATGGAGGTCAGTGGGATGATGTGTAAGGACAAGGAGGATTCTGTCTTTGTTTTTGTTGCAAGGAGGGGATGTGAGGGCAGGAAACAGAAGAGATGCATTTTCGACCACCGAAGGGGGGCAGTTGCGGTTCTTGAAATAAGAGGACATCTGGGATGTTCGGGAGTGGAACGCCCCATCTTGGGAGCAGACGCGGCAGAGGTGGAGGAATTGGGAGTAGGGGATCGCATTCTTGCAGGAAGGTGGGTAAGAGGAAGTGTAGTCTAGGTAGCTGTGGGAGTCGGTGCGCTTGAAATAGATGTTGGTTTCGAGGCGGTCATCAGACATGGAGACAAAGAGATCCAGAAAAGAAAGAAAGGTATCAAAGATGGTCCAGGTGAACTAGAGGTTGGGGTGAAAGGTGTTAGTTAAGTTGATGAACTGTTTAAGCTCCTCGTGGGAGCACGAAACAGTGCCAATACAGTCATCAATGTAGCGGAGGAAAAGGTGGGGGACAGTGCCAGTGTAGCTGCAGAAGAGGGACTGTTCCATGTATCCTACGAAGAGGCAGGCATACCTTGGGCCCACGCGGGTTCCCATGGCCAACCCCTCAGTCTATAGGAAGTGGGAGGAGTTGAAGGAGAAGTTGTTAAGGGTAAGGATAAGTTTGGTTAAATATCAAATGGTTGTTCTTTTCCCAGAGAATTGTGAACCTCTGGAACAGTGTGTCAAGTCATACCATGGATGTCAGTTTCCCGAATCCCTTCAAAGCAGAGCTGGACAAGTTATATGACAGAAGAGCTCAACTGCCTCAACTATTTGTGTTACCTGATCAGCCTCCAGCAGTTTTTCAATCCTCTCTGTGCTGGAGTTCAGTTCCTCTTTAACTTTAGAAAGCTCAGCCTGTAGCCCCTCACGTTCCACACTTAGCTGGGTGACAAGTAGCTCCTTCTGCTGCAAGGTAGCTTCCATCTCTTTCAGTCTCTTTTGCTCCTGGAACTGAAAGGTCATTCCCATCAGTCTGTCTGTGTACGGCATAGCATTTTACCTTCATAATATGAGATTTTACTGATTACCTTTTGATACAAGCTAGCAGCAATATAGTGAGGATCCATTATCTAGGAATGTTAATTTTTACTGAAGTTTTGACAAAACACAATCAGGACATATACACCTATTATATCCTCAAACAAAGGCTGGATCACTGGGTTACAATTGGTCAATGAAGCAAGTAGCTGAGCCTTACAGACCAAGGTCATTGAACTGAGTTAGTGAGATGGTAACAGACAACTGGACTGCTGTAGGTTCCAGGGTTACAGGCGGTGAAAGAGAAGGAAAGAGTAGCGGCTTCACTCGACATCATTGACCAGTCTTTGTTGTTGAAATGACATGTGATTGATGCATATTAAAGATAAGAATGGGATCAGCAATACACTGTAGCCAAATATCCTATATGTAGACCTATGAAAGAAGGTGGCTTTCTCCAAGTCTTCACATTATGTACATCTTTCACACATAGTCAACGCATACTCTAGCTTTATGCATTTTAGGAAACCCTGTGATGAGAATCTATAAATACTGTCATGACCAATGGCAAGGATTTCTACTCCACTCTCTGTGATCATCTTGGCCCGGCATCTTGGCCATTGGATAAATTAATTTTGATCTGAAATTAATTCGTTATTAGCCCATCCACTCGAATATTATTCCACTGTATGGTCTACCAATTATGTATGAAAGAAAGTGCACACTTTGCAAGATGCATATCACTTGAACATCAATGATAATCTTGAACACTTTCTTCTTCATTGTCCATCCTCTACAAATTTAGAAATATACCAAAATGGTATTCATTTGGAAAGTGAGAAGTCTCCTTATGAAGGCCGAACATCGGTTCTCTTGACTGAGCAGCCAAAAATTTGCTGCCGTTAAATGTGGACAGCCATGCTGTATTCATGAAGACTCTTCTATGTACATCTCCATTTTTTGCAGCAGCAGCAGCGGGAGTGGTGATAGCGAGGACCAGGGGGCAGCCGGGAGGTGAGTTTCCCAGTTAAAAACTGACCTCGTGCAATCAGCGGCCTCCATTTTTTGCAGCAGCAGCAGCGGGAGCGATGACAGCGAGGACCAGGGGGCTGCCGGGAGGTGAGTTCTTCATTTCGGCAGCGGAGCTGAGTGGGAGCGGTCGAATTGCGCTCTGGGAAGGTGAGTGATCTGATATATTTGGGCAGTGGCTAAACCCGAGATACTACACATGTAGTGTCTCCCACCCGCCCTCCTCCACTGACCAGAAGAAAAAGACTCTGTGGTGTGTTGGTAAGGTAAGTGTTTTTCTTTTTCTTTTTTTTATCGTGAGCTGGTAAGTAGAGTGATTTGGCACAATATTTTTCATTTCATTTATCAAGTATTTGATATTATAGTAGGACTAAGTTAAGCTTAAGAGTAAAAATGGCAGGAGATCTCAGACCCGTGTTATGCTCCTCTTGCTCAATGTGGGAGCTCAGGGACACGGCTGATGTTCCTGATTCCTACACGTGCAGGAAGTGTGTCCAGCTGCAGCTCTTGTTAGACCGCATGACGGCTCCTGAGCTGCGGACGGACTCGCTTTGGAGCATCCGCGATGCTGAGGATGTCGTGGATAGCACGTTCAGCAAATTAGTCACACTGCAGATTAGGATTGCTGATGGAGAAAGGGAATGAGTGACCAAAAGGCAGAAAAAGAGCAGGAAGGCAGTGCAGGTGTCCCCTGCGGTCATCTCCCTCCAAAACAGGTATACCGTTTTGGATACTGTTGGGGGAGAGGGCTCACCGGGGAAGGCAGCAGCAGCCAGGTTTATGGCACCGTGGCTGGCTCTGCTGTACAGAAGGGCGGGAAGAAGAGTGGAAGGGCTATAGTCAAAGGGGATTCAATTGTAAAGGGAGTAGACAGGCGGTTCTGTAGTCGAAAACGAGACTCCCGAATGGTATGTTGCCTCCCAGGTGCACGGGTCAGGGATGTCTCAGATCGACTGCAGGACATTCTGAAGGGGGAGGGTGAACAGCCAGCTGTCGTGGTGCATACAGGGACCAACGATATAGGTAATAAACAAGCAGAATTTAGGGAGTTAGGAGCCAAGTTAAAAAGTAGAGCGTCAGAGGTAGTAATCTCAGGTTTGCTACCAGTGCCATATGCTAGTCAGAGTAGAAATGAAAGAATAGGCTGGATAAATGAGTGGCTTGAGAGATGGTGCAGGAGGGAGGGGTTCAGATTTTTGAGACATTGGGACCGGTTCTGGGGGAGGTGGGACTATTACAAATCGGACGGTCTGCACCTGGGCAGGACTGGAACTAATGTCCTAGGGGGTGCTTTTGCTAATGCTTTGGGGAGGGTTTAAACTAATGTGGCAGGGGGGTGGGAACCAAATGGGGAGGTTAGTGGACAGTAAGGAGGTAGTAACTAAAGCCTGTAAGGAACTAGATAATGAAGTCAGTGTGACTAAGGGGAAGAGTAGGCAGAGGGCAGATGATGAACGCAAAGGGACAGGTTGTCTGAAGTGCATTTGTTTTAATGCGAGGAAGTGTAGTAGGTAAGGCAGATGAACTTAGGGCTTGGATTAGTACCTGGGAGTATGATGTTATTGCTATTACTGAGACTTGGTTGAGGGAAGGGCAAGACTCGCAACTAAATATCCCAGGATATAGATGCTTCAGGCGGGATAGAGAAGGAGGTAAAAGGGGTGGAGGAGTTGCATTACTGGTCAAAGAAGATATCACAGCTGTGCTGAAGGAGGGCACTATGGAGGACTCGAGCAGTGAGGCAATATGGGCAGAGCTCAGAAATAGGAAGGGTGCAGTAACAATGTTGGGGCTGTACGACAGGCCTCCCAACAGCAAGCATGCAATAGAGGTACAACTATGTAGACAGATTATGGAAAGACGTAGGAGCAACAGGGTGGTGGTGATGGGAGATTTTAATTTTCCCAACATTGACTGGGATTCACTTATTGTTAGGGGTTTAGATGGAGCAGAATTTGTAAGGAGCATCCAGGAGGGTTTTCTAGAACAGTATGTAAATAGTCCAACTCGGGAAGGGACCATACTGGACCTGGTGTTGGGGAATGAGCCTGGCCAGGTGGTTGAAGTTTCAGTAGGGGATTACTTTGGGAATAGCAATCACAATTCCCTAAGTTTTAGAATACTCATGGACAAAGACAAGAGTGGTCCTAAAGGAAGAGTGCTAAATTGAGGGAAGGCCAACTATAGCAAAATTCAGCAGGAATTGGGGAATATGGATTGGGAGCAGCTGTTTGAGGGTAAATCCACATTTGATATGTGGGAGGCTTTTAAAGAGGGGTTGATTACAGTGCAGGACAGACATGTCCCAGTGAAAATGAGGGATAAAAAGGGCAAGATTAGGGAACCATGGATGACAGGTGAAATTGTGAGACTAGCAAAGAGGAAAAGGGAAGCATACATAAGGTCTAGGCGACTGAAAACAGACAAAGCTTTGTAAGAATATTGGGAAAGTAGGACCAATCTGAAATGAGGAATTAAGAGGGCTAAAAGGAGTCATGAAATATCTTTAGCCAGCAGGGTTAAGGAAAATCCCAAAGCCTTTTATTCGCACATAAGGAGCAAGAGGGTAACTAGAGAAAGGGTTGACCCACTCAAGGACAAAGGAGGGAAGTTATGCGTGGAGTCAGAGAAAATGAGTCAGATTCTTAATGAGTACTTTGCGTCAGTATTCACTGAGGAGAGGGACATGACGGATGTCGAGGTTAGGGATAGATGTTTGATTACTCTAGGTCAAGTTGGCATAAGGAGGGGGGGGAAGTGTTGGGTATTCTAAAAGGCATTAGGGTAGACAAGTCCCCAGGTCCGGATGGGATCTATCCCAGGTTACTGAGGGAAGCGAGACAGGAAATAGCTGGGGCCTTAACAGATATCTTTGCAGCATCCTTGAGCACGGGTGAGGTCCCGGAGGACCGGAGAATTGCTAATGTTGTCCCCTTGTTTAAGAAGGGTAGCAAAGATAATCCAGGTAATTATAGGCCGGTGAGCCTGACGTCAGTGGTGGGGAAGCTGCTGGAGAAGATACTGAGGGATAGGATCTATTTACATTTGGAAGAAAATGGGCTTATTAGTGATAGGTAGCGTGGTTTTGTGCAGGGAAGGTCATGTCTTACCAACTTGATAGAATTCTTTGAGGAAATGACAAAGTTGATAGATGAGGGAAGGGCTGTGGATGTCATATACATGGACTTCAATAAGGCGTTTGATAAGGTTCCCCATGGTAGGCTGATGGAGAAAGTGAAGTCGCATGGGGTCCAGGGTGTACTAGCTAGATGGACAGAGAACTGGCTGGGCAACAGGAGTCAGAGAGTTGTAGTGGAAGGGAGTTTCTCAAAACGGAGAACTGTGACCAGTGGTGTTCCACAGAGATCCATGCTGGGACCGCTGTTGTTTGTGATAATGATCTGGAGGAAGGTATAGATGGTCTGATTCGCAAGTTTGCAGATGACACTAAGATTGGTGGAGTAGCAGATAGTGAAGGGGACTGTTGGAGAATGCAGCAGAATATAGATAGATTGGAGAGTTGGGTGGAGAAATGGCAGATCGAGTTCATTCCAGGCAAATGCGAGGTGATGCATTTTGGAAGATCCAATTCAAGAGCAAACTATACAGTAAATGGAAAAGCCCTGGGGAAAATTGATGCACAGAGAGATCTGGGTGTTCAGGTCCATTGTACCTTGAAGGTGGCCACGCAAGTCGATAGAGTGGTCAAGAAGGCATACAGCATGGTTTCATTCATCGGACGGGGTATTGAGTACAAGAGTTGGCAGGTCATGTTACAGTTGTATAGGACTTTGGTTCGACCACATTTGGAATACTGCGTACAGTTCTGGTCGCCACATTACCAAAAGGATGTGGATGCTTTGGAGAGGGTGCAGAGGAGGTTTAGCAGGATGTTGCCTGGTATGGAGGGCGCTAGCTATGAAGAGAGGTTGAGTAGATTAGGATTATTTACATTGGAAAGACGGAGGTTGAGGGGGGACCTGATTGAGGTCTACAAAATCATGAGAGGTTATAGACAGTGTGGATAACAAGAACCTTTTTCCCCCCCAGAGTGGGGGACTCAAATACTAGGGGTCACGATTTCAAGGTGAGAGGGGAAAAGTTTAAGGGAGATATGCGTGGAAAGTTCTTTACGCAGAGGGTGGTGGGTGCCTGGAACGCGTTGCCAACGGAGGTGGGCATGATAGCGTCATTTAAGACATATCTAGACAGATACATGAATAGACAGGGAGCAGAGAGATACAGATTCTTGGAAAATAGGCAACAGGTTTAGATAGAGGATCTGGATTGGCGCAGGCTTGGAGGGCCAAAGGGCCTGTTCCTGTGCTGTAATTTTCTTTGTTCTTTGTTTGTTCTATAATATCAACTAACACCTAGCCAAGAAAAAGCCATGGAATCATTTTCAACACTTTGTAGACTTTTACCTCAAGACTGTGCTATTGCAGGATGCTCTCAAATAGTGGTTCCTTACTTTATGTCCTTGTACTACAAAATGCAACCTATCTCAAGTTTTCATGATGAATGAAAAACATACAAGACCTCAATCATCTCAATCATGTTTGTGAATATTTTATTGCATTCAGAACAACCTATGAAAACTGAAGACTTTTTTTTCTTGTCAATGGAAGTTTATTACAAATTCTCCCTATCCAAGAAAAACAAGAGAAAGAAAAGATGTGTGCTTTAACTTTCAATTAAAATTATACAAATCATTCACTGTAAAAGTTTAAGTGCCAAAAGATGTTTGTTGCATTACCTCCAAGAGAAGTAAATACATAACGACTTACCAATAGATCTTCCTTCAGCTGTATTTTTGGAGAAGTCCCATCATTACCAACCACTTCCTTTTCTTTCTCAAATTGCTTCAGGTGGTCTTTTAATTCTTCATTCATTGCCTTCCACTTGGCTAGATCACCTTGCAATCTTTGAAGTTCTTCTTGGTGATCTGCATCCTTCTGTCTCAAGGTCTGAAGCACACAGTCACGTTGCAGAAGGTCAGAGTGCAAAGCTTGTAGTTCATTACAGCTGTTTTGGACTTGAGTGGTCCTATCTGACAATTCTTGTTCAAGTTCTGCTATTCTGGTTGGTAAAGATCCAATTTCTTCCAATTCCACCTGCCTTTGCTTTTCAATCATTTGTAGCAACATGTGCTTTTCAGTCTCAGCATCTTCCAACTCTTGGACACGTGAGGACAGAAGAGCTATGTCAGCCTCCCGTTGAGAGAGGTGGGTCCTCAGCAAACTGTTGTCCTCCTGAAGGGTGCTGTGCTGTAAGCGCATGGATTCTATTTCCTGCAACTGCTGTTGATTAACTTCCTGCAAGTTTTGAAGATCAATTTGCAAAGCAACATTTTTTTCTTGGAACTGAGCTTCTTTTTTATCCAACAGCTGGAGAGAATCTTGTTTAGATACCATCATGGCTGCTTGATTCTGAAGCCCTGTGGAATGGCTTGGAAGAGTTTCCTTATAGTCTCCAGCAGCCCTACTGTCTACTTCAATACATGCCAGCTCCTGCTGCAGGTTGTCGTTAAGTCCCCGAGAAAGTGCTGACTTTTGTCTGGTGTCTTTCTCCAAACCCAACATTTCAAGGTCTTCCTGAGAATCGCTGACTTCATGGCGATTTGGACCCAACAGAGAAAGTTCTTGTTGCAGTTTCTCTATAACCTCAATGAGATGCTCAATTTCTTCTTCTTTTGAATGACGTAACCTATCCTGGTCAACTGTAAGTTGTTCTATCTGTATTTTCAGCTCTTCAATTTCACAGTTCTTCTCTTCAAATGTCTAAAATAAAAAGACAAACAAGGAAGATCTTAAATCCTGCTAACAGACACTGGTAAATCAACTAAAATAAAAACAAAGCATGGAGAAGGAAACAGAGATGATGTTTCAAGTCTAACATGCACAGTCATATTGGACTCAAAACATTACAGCTATTTTTGTCTCTACAGATGTTGCCAGAGCTGCTAAATCAAGATTGGAAAGTCTCAGTTTTTGTCATTCAAATTGCTAGGAAGAAAACTGCCACACAACAAATCTCTTAAGAGTTAGTCTAGATGCATCATCTGTTTCTTGCTCTGTTACCCCTCTCTTTTGCTTTGCATCAACATCGGTGGCATGGTGGCTCAGTGGTTAGCACTGCTGCCTCACAATTAGAGCGCCAGGGACCTGGGTTCGATTCCACCCTCAAGTGACTGTCTGTGTGGAGTTTGCACATTCTCCCCGTGTCTGCATGGATTTCTGTCGGGTGCTCTGGTTTCCTCCCACAGTCCAAAGATGCTCAGGTTAGGTGAATTGGCCATGTTAAATTGTCCATAGTGTTCGGAGATATGTAGATTAGGTGTGTTAGCCAAGAAAAATGCAGGGTGTCAGGGATGGAGTTGGGGGCAGGGGGAATGTTTCCAGGTGTGATTGTGTTCTTATTGGGCCGGATGGCCTGTTTCCATACTGTAGAGATTCTGTTTTGCCATTTAAAGCTCTCCTGCCTTCCATCCAATCTTAGACCTACCCATTTGATATTTCTTCCCAGTGAACCTTCTTTCAGTCTTTGTAATTAGTTCGAAGCAGCTAAATCTGGCACTTTTTACATCCCTGATAATAGGTCCCCCACTTGAAATATTAATTGTGTTTCTCTCCAAAAACACTGTCTGTTGTTATCAAAATAACTATTTAATCAAAAAAAAAGTTTGGGGAAAAGCTTTCAATTCAAAGAGTGAATTACCTAAAAGACATTGTCTAACTTAAACTTAGCCTTTAGCTTCATACAATGCATTAACTGAGGAGTCCAACAGAGCTCTCATGGTTCCACTAATATATTACCTTGCAGTCTAAAGTGTTTTCCAAGTCCTGCTGTAATTTGAGGATTTGCTCTTTTAGTTCATCAATCTCCTGGTTCTTCTCCTGCAACAATGCCTGAGGCAGCTGCAATCCTGGCATTTTGCTGCTATCTGCATCCAGGCCCAAACGCTGATGGAGACTAGCTACGTCCTCCTGAAAAAATAGAATGGTTGGGGAAAAATATATTTGATATAAATTAGCACAGACTGCGTCACTGTTAAAAACAGTTCCAGGAAACTATCATACGTAAGTGATAGATCAGATGATTTAGCTACACATTCTCCGTGTCCAGTTACTCACTAACAACTGACTTTTATTTCGATCACCCCACAAATTGACTCCAGTAACTCACGAGAATCACATCACTGCCAAGTAACTCACTTTCACGCGGATGTTCTCCTCATGGAGTTGGTTGATTGTCATTGCTGACTGCTTTGTCTGGATCTCCAACTGCATATTCAGCTGAAGCATCTCATCGTTTCTATTCAACAGATTTTCTCGAAATTGATCAAGCTGTTCCTCAAGGCTTTGGATCTTGAAAATAAATTCCACAATAAAATCAGTTACAAACCAATTGAGCCACCAGACGTTATTATACAAGTTTAGATTTCTTACTCAATAAATTCCATGAAATGCATCCATTTTATTTTGCCAAAGAGATTTTGTACAATACCTGGCGACTGTCACAAATGGAGGATAGAAAATCTTGAAAAGCACCTTTCATCATCCCAAGAGGACCTAGTGTGCATCCAATGGATTACTCTGGTCACCTTGTTAGCGCAGCCACACGTAGTAAGCCAATAAATACACAAAAGTGACAAACACGGCAAAAGCAAACATAACTCATCACTGCTATCAGTGGAACTCGTTGAGGGAGGATTAGCAATTAAAGGATGCAAGATTCCAGGAAATGTTATTCTAATTGTGTTACTCCATTTTGTGATCAATGACTACATAAAGAATCATATGAGCAGTGTACTTTCTGACTTGGGTTGCTTGGTCAAAAAAGCTTTTCCGGTAAATACATCTCCATTCTAACTTTGTAGCCAAAATCTATCATTCTTTGCATCATGTGGTAAATCTCCCCAGTATCTTCTCAAGGATCCTCACAATCTGTATAAGTTGTGGTGAATCATACTGGATACTCTAGCTGGGGCTTAACCAGAGCTTTATAAAGATTCAGCATAACCTCCTTGCTTTTGTGCTTAAGATTTTGACTTATGAAGCCTGATATCCCATCAGCTTTGCAAATAATTTAGCTAATTATTACCCCAATACCTTTGAGATTAATGCACATGAACTCTCAGGTCCTGCTGCTCCTGCATGCTCGTGAACTGTACCATTAGGTTTATGACTGTTTCTCCCTTACTCTTCGATCAAAATGTATCAACTCTCACTTCTCAGCATAGAATCCTAATTGTTATTTGTCTGCTCATTCGTCTAAAGCATTCTGCCTTTGCCTTATTACAATTGATTAATATCATCCTCAACACCATTTATATCTCCAAGTTTCGAATGAAGAGAAAAGTTTGAAATTTTACTCTGTACTCCAATATCCAAGTCATTTATAGATATCAAAAAAAGTGGTTCAAACGCAGATTCTCAGGGAACTGATTTCCAGTCCAAAGAACAGCCAAACATTACAACTCTTTTTTCTGTACTTAAGCCAAATGGTTAATCCAAGCTGACAGAGCCCCTCGTTGATACCATTCATTGTTTCCATTTGTGCTGTAAAGCCAGTGGTCTGGGAAGATTGTCAGATTGAAGGCTTAGAATGTTCTGATGGGTTCTAGATTTGATTTTACCTAGAAACAGGGCAAGCTCTTGCTGGAGTGTTTAAAAGATTCACTCAGAAGCAGTTTGTCAGTGAGGAGAAGTCAAACCAGGTGACTCCACATTGCTTATGTGTCACTGTTTGCCCCAACTGCATATAGCTAATTAATGACAGTCTGCATACACCAGGATTTTTCTCAGAGCGGGTAGAGAACTGGAATTGTGCCAGTGATTAGATGCTGGAGTGGCGCATTGTGATGCAGTCTCAAGAGATTGAGTGGCTGAGAGGTAAGCCGTTGTTGACAGTAGTTCGGCTGAGTGCCTGTGCTCAGACAGTGGACAAAGGAGTCTGACCAAAGCAGTGAAATGCAGTCTCAGAAGTAAGCCAGCTTAGCTCGAAAAGAAAATCAACAAGGTTGGGTCTCAGTGCGCAGGGAAATTCAGGGCCAGCACAAGCACCAGCACGGTCTTTGCTAAAAAGCTCAAATTATGCCAGCAATTATATGCACGTATTCCCAGGAATTCTGGAGAGCTGAAAGAAGGGATTGAGCTATCGAATTGTGAACAATCATTAAGGTCAACCAAGTCAGGAGCAGTGTTTAAGCAACTTCAGAGGCTAGATCTTCAAAAGTGAAGGTTCAATATCCCTTCTGAAGGAGGCAGAATCATAATGAGATTTGGTGACTCACAGTGTCACTGAAATCTGGATAGGTTTCTAAGAAATTTGTGGAATCTGTTTTGAGTCATAGAGTCACACAGCATAGGAACAGGCCCTTCAGCCCACCACATCTCTACCAACCAACAAATACCAAACTATACTAATCCTATTTATCTGCACTTGGTCCATAGCCTACTACACCCTGGCATTTTAAGTGCTCAACTAGATGCTACTTATATATTGCAAGAGTACCTGATGCTGTGCATTCCATATTTCCATTAGCGTCAAGGTGAGGAAAGTTTTCCTCGGACCCCCTCTAAAACTCTTACGCCTCACCTTAAACTTATGTCCCCTGGTCTTAGACACGTCCACCATGGAGAAAAGATTCTCACAATCTACCTCGTTCATGCCTCTCAATTTTGTATTGCTCAATGGGATCCCTTGCCTGCCTCAGTCTCTTTTGCTCCAGGTAAAGCAAACCCAGCCTATCCTATAACTGAAATTTTCCATTCCAGAAAACATCGTAGTGAACCTGCTCTGCACACTCTCAAGTGCAATCACTGCCTGATAGTTTGGCAACCAGAATTGCATACAGTATTCCATTGGTGGCCGAGCCAGGGATGCATCTGCTATTTGATGTGGTGTTTGTTGACCTACATTTACCTCATTTTAATTTATTTTTATTCACTCATGGCACGTGGGCGTCCCTGGCTAACCAGCATTTCTTACCCACCTCTAGCTGCCCATTGAGCTGCTTTCTTGATCTGTCGCAGTCCATGCAATGTAGGTTGACATACAATATGGGAATTCCAGGATATTGACCCTGTGATAATGAAGAAATGGCGATATATTTCCAAATCAGGATGGCTTGGAAGGAAACTTGCAAAAGGTGTTGTTCCCACTTATCTGCTGCTCTTGTCCTCCTAGATGGAAGTCATTGTGGATTTGGAAGGTACTGTTGAAGGATCTTTGGTGAATTTCTGCAGTGCATCTTGTAGGTAATACACACAGTTGTTATTTAGCACTGGTGATAGAGGAATGGACACTTGTGGATGTGGTACCATCAAGTGGGCTGTTTTTTCCTGGATAGCGTGAAGCTTCTCGAGTACTTCTAGATGCCAGAGTAGAAGCCTTTCTATTCTTGTAAAGTTTATTTTATTTGTTTAAAATCAGCGGAATCTTTGGCCTTTATTCTCTTAAGTTTCTGGGATTCCAGACTTTCCTTACTTTAAACAAAAAAGTTACAAGTCCCTAGCCAGGTCATAGCAAATTAAATGATCTTGTTTGGAATTGTAGCACTTCTTGTTCCACAAGCTACAATTTTGTTAACTAGTAATTAAATAATACTTTGTCAAAGGCATTCTAGGAATACATCTTTTGCTTCATCAACCATTTCTGTTAGTCGATCAAAAAAATTCAATTCAATGATTGAATTAGTCTCTTATAAATCTATGCTGGCTCCCCTTAATTAACTAAAATCACTCCAAATGTCTTTTCATTTTTTCTTGAATTAGGATATTAACAGTCATCACTCCCTAATCCTCTGGCAAAGTCCGTCTGCTATCTTCACTTGCACTTCTTTAGCGAAATGGGATTTAAACCAACTGAGATCTTTTCCCAGGGCAGTGGAGTCCAAAACTAGACAGCATAGCTTTAAGGTGAGAGGGGCAAGGTTTAAAATGGACCTGAGGGGCAACTTTTTCACGTAGAGGGTGGTGCGTGTATGGAATGAGTTGCCAGAGGAAGTGGTGGAGCCTGGTACAATTACAAAATTTAAAAGGCATCTGGATCAGTATATGATAGGAACAGTTTAGAGGGATATGGACCAAATGCTGGCAAATGAGACGTGATTAATTTAGGATATCTGGTTGGCTTGGACGAGTTGGACTGAAGAGACTGTACAGCTCCATGACTCTATAATTGGGCTCAGCGATTTATCCATTTGAAGAATATCCAAGCCTTTCCAGTAAAAATTGCCCATCTATTAACTCAATATCTCCATGTCTATGAAAATTTTGTCAGCATCTTCTGAATAAACATCAACAAAAAGTACTAAAATATTCCAAGCCTTGCCCTCCATTTCTAAGTATTTACCGCCATCCTTGTTTTGAATGCATTTCAACCACTAGTTTGCCACTTACATGCGTGGAAGATTCTTGAGCTTCCTTGATGTAAACTGTTATTCTATTCTCATTTTTCTTTGTCAGCAATTTGGGAGGTGATGTTGTTAAAAGTTTACAAGAGTACCATGCACCTTCCGAGAGTAAAACAACCTGGAACGCCCTTTAGCAACCACTCCATTCTACGCTTGCTGTCAAGCAGAATTCAAAACTGGTCATGCAAACTCCTTCATTCCTCCATTTACCCTAAATTAAATTTAGTCTCAAAACAATCTTACACACCTCATATTCCTAATGACCTCATCTTAACTTTTATCCAATGCAATTTCTGTATTGTGACATTGCATTTGTGTGGACAGACAGAAATGCAGTCATAGTATTTACTCAGCATCTCAGCTATGCTTTCCCTACGATCCCTTATTAATTTGCCCTTCATCTGATACCCTTTTACTTTATGTACACTTCTGAAAGATTTAAGTTACCCTTCATTAACTTCACCTTGAATTCTTTGGGCTTCTGTTTGTTAGCAAGTCTGTAAGGTGGATCTAATTTTCTTTCAACAAATACACATTGTTCCTCTCATTTCCTTTCTGAATTGTATTCTGTAATTTCATACTTTATTTAATTTGCCACTGTATTCTTCATTTGACATTTATTAGATTTTTTTACATTAAACCCTCTGATTTTGATCATGCAGAGAGTTCCTCTCCGCATTGGGACATGGCTGCTGTATCTCAATACTCTCCTTTGAAAGCATCATAGCACTCATTTACGGTTTTACCTATCGATCTTTGATTTCAGCCAGTGGGAAAGATTTCTTTCCTGCTCACTGTACTTAACTCTCCTGTAAACAGCTTTTAGTCATTTCTGTTTATTTGAAGTATGCAGGACACACTGCAAACTATCAGATGTGAAATTTTCAGATTGCCTAATCCTTTTGTGAGCATCAGAAAATAATTCTGTGTATTTACTCACTCCTATACAGTTGTGTAGCTGGTAACACCTTAACCAACAGGATGAAGGCTTGTTTATCGAGCACTATGGAAGATTTGTTGTAGGAGTGAATTACTGCAGATGCTGGAATCTGTACTGAAAACAAAAAATGCTGGAAATCACAGCGGGTCAGGCAGCATCCCTGGAGAGACAGCAGGCTAATGTTTCGAGTTTAGATGATTTGTTGGGCTGTTCAAAACCCAGCCTATTCATCCAACCTGACATATAACCTAGTCCAGTGTTTTTGCCAATATCCCTTGCCCATGTGGAATAACAGTTACCAGGGGTGGCGCAGTGGTTAGCAGTGCTGCCTCACAGCGCCAGGGACCCGGGTTCAATTCCACCCTCGGGCGACTGTCTGTGTGGAGTTTGCACATTCTCCCAGTGTCTGCGTGGGTTTCCTCTGAGTGCTCCGGTTTCCTCCCACAGTCCAAAGATGTGCAGGCTAGATGGATTAGCCATGCTAAATTGCCCGTAGTGTTCAGGGATGTGTGGATTAGGTGGGTTATAGGGGAATGGGTTTGGGTGGGTGCCCTGAGAGTCGGTGTGGACTTGTTGGGCCAAACAGCCTGTTTCCACACTGTAGGGATTCTATGATTCAATGAAACACTGTACAATTACTTATAAAGTACCCCTCAATAAACCCAGTAAACTGACTAAACTGCAATGTAGTGTCTCTAAAAACAGAAATGCTAAAACACAGTTCACAAATGGTCTTACTTTGGGCCTAATGAAATTATATGATTCAATCCCACCTCATCTTCCTTTGTCTGGAGAGCTTGTCGCTCGTTCAGTAATTGCTCCTTTAGAGTTTGGTCAGAAAATCCTTCAATAGGGACTCTATGTCTAGCTTCATCCAGCTTTGACTGTAGAGCAGAGATCTGCATTAGGTTACTGTACTGTTGCTGTTGCAGGGATTCCTTGTCCTAGCACAAAAAAACATACAGAAGGAATATCTCAGAGCTGGTAGCACTCAAATTAAAAATAAAAATCAAACAGAAGCCCTTTTAGCCATTATCTTATGCAATTGTATCATATTTTACTTCCCATCAATGAGTGAAGCACACTTTAATCACATTACTATTATATATTCAGGACTGTTTCTGCTCACTTCCAACTTTAGTGAATTTTAGGGGGAAGCAACAGCCTAGTGGTATTGTCACTGAATCATTAACTCAGAGGCCAGGTAATGTTCTGGGGACAAAAACAATGTTGCTGGAAAAACTCAGCAGGTCTGGCAGCATCTGTGAAAGAGAAAACAGGGAGTTTGTCCACCTTCCGCAGGGACCATTCCCTCCGGGACACCCTGGTCCACATTTCTTTCATCCCCAATACCTCCCCACAGCCCTATGGCACCTTCCCCTGTAACTGGCGAAGGTGCAACACCTGTCCATTTACCTCCTCCCTCCCCACTATCCAAGGGCCCAAACGTACCCTACAGGTGAAGCAACACTTCACCTGCTCTTCCCAGAATCTAGTCTACTGCATTCACTGCTCACAATGTGGTCTCCTCTACACTGGGAAAACGAAGCATAGACTTAGTGACTGCTTCGCAGAACATCTACGTTCTGCTCGCAGAAAAGACCCTGAATTACCTGTTGCCTGCCACTTCAATGCACCACCCTGCTCCCTGGTCAACATCTCGGTCTCTGGCTCGCTGCAGTGTTCCAATGAAGCCCAACACAAGCTGGAAGAACAACACCTCGTTTTCCACTTGGGGACCCTACAGCCCTCCGGACTCAATACTGAGTTCAATAATTTTAGGGCTTAAACTCTCCCATGTCCCAGCCCCCCACCCCACACACCAGGCCTTGTTACCACATAGCCTGCCATTACACACCCGCTGTTGTTAGTCACTAACAGTCCCCATTAACAACTATTCACCCTCCCAGCCTGATCGTTAGCAACTCCTTGGTCTGTCCAACCGTCTTTCTTTCTCTTTGGGCTCTATCCTATCGTTTACTCCCTACCCCACCCACTTCCCTATTTTCTGCATATAAACTGACATTTTCCCAGCCACCATCAGTTCTGAAGAAGGGTCACTGGACCCGAAACATTAACTCTGTTTTCTCCTTCACAGATGCTGCCAGACCTGCTGAGCTTTTCCAGCAACTTTGTTTTTGTTCCTGATTTACAGCATCCGCAGTTCTTTTGGTTTTTTTTTAATAATGTTCTGGGGACACTGGTTTGAACCCCAGCAAGGCAGATGGTGAAATTTGAACTCTAAAGAAATTTAGAATCAAAGAGTCTAATGATGACCATGAACCCATTGTCGATTGTTGCAAAAACCCATCCGGTTCACTGGTGTCCTTTAGGGTAGGAAACTGCCATCCTTACCTGGTCCGGCCTACGTGACTCCAGACCCACAGCAACTTGGTTGACTCTTAACAGTCTTCCGGGCAATTAAGGATGGGTGATAAATGCTAGTCGAGCCAGCGACGTCCTCAGCAAGTTAAGAAGCGGGACAAATTGAATGATTTGCAGCCATCTGGATGGTATCATACTGTGGCTGTATTTTGTGAAACTGACACCAAACTTTTGTTGCAAAACTGGCACTTTTTGTTTAATACCACAACACAAAATCCAAAAAGAGGAGCATGGAGCTGATCATGATTCGTTTTATGCAAAGTACAAACTGCTTTTATTATTTCATTCAGAAAGGTTCGCTGTACCAAACTAACTCAGTACTTTTGAAATAACAGGTTTTCGAACATAGTACAGTACTGCCTGGATGAATTCATTTCTCAATCATTTCCAATTACTGCCAGATTATATTAAACTCTGCAGCAGTAAGCTGACCAGCTTCATTCTCAACAAAATGGCAGCAATGTTAAGTTTATCATTAGTGCAGCAAATTGTGATCATCGACATTGTGAAATGAGATGGAGCCATTTCTCAATACTGTAGTTTGAACAAAGGACTCAGGACTGTCCCTAACATCTTAAGAAAAGATGGTGCAATAAAGTTCACTTAGGATCATTCAGTGCAGGGAGAGATTATTTGTTTTGAGGTTGTTGACTTGCTCACCGAGCTGGCTTGTTTTTGTTCAGACGTTTCGTCACCATGCTAGGTGACATCATCAGTGGAGCCTCCGATGAAGCGATGTTATTCTACTCCGCTTGGAATTTATACTGTCCGGTCTGTTATGGTGAGTACTATCATTTCCAATTTTGATCTGTATGGGTTTTTATATAGGGTCCAATTCTATATGTTTGTTGATTGAAGTATGGGTGAAGAACCGTGCCTCTAGGAATTCCCATGCATGTCTATGTTTGGCTTGGGTTACTATGGGTATTAAATTCACAGGGATTAAATTCACAAGGAAAGAAGAAAACAAAAAATAACTTCCGTTTCTGGATGTTAAGGTAGAATGACTAACAAACGGGGAGTTCCAAACCTCAGTATACAGAAAAGCAACCCATACAGATCAAATCCTCAACTTCCACAGCAACCACTCCAATGTCCACTAGGAATCATGGTGGCCCACAAGCCCACAGCCACTCCATGACAAACACTTACAAGGATTAAAGACCCCATTCCCACAACCTGCAGAACGAACGTGGTTTACAAAATGCCATGCAACGACTGCCACAAACATTACATCGGACAGACAGGAAGGAAACCAGCCATCAGAACACACGAACATCAGCTAGCAGCAAAACAGCGCAATGAACTCTCCTTAACATCTATACATTCAGACAACGAAGGTCATCAGTTTAACTGGGACAAAGTAACGTAGTAGCCCAAGCCAAACATAGACACGCATGGGAATTCCTAGAGGCATGGTTCTCCGCCCATATTTCAAATCAACAAGCATGTAGAATTGGACCCCACATATAAACCCATACAGATCAAAAACGGAAATGACAGTACTCACCATAACGGACCAGACAGTATAAATTCCAAACAGAGTAGAATAACATCGCTTCCACTGATGATGTCACCTAGTATGGGATGAAATGCCTGAACGAAAACAAGCCAGCTTGGCGAGCAAGTCAACAACCTCATCCACAACCCGAGCTACAGATCTTTGCCAATACTTTAAATTATCTGTTTTGCCTCTTTGATAATGGTATCAATTTGTCCTACTCCCATGCTCTTTGCCCATAAGCCTGCAAATTTATTTTTCAATTAAAATATCCAGTTGCTTTTGATTTTACCATTATCTTTGCAAGCTTCTGGGCCATTATAATGCTCCTTCCAGATATTTTCTTAGAAAATGCCAGCTAATCCTTTCAACTAGGGGTTAGAGCTATTAATTCCAGCAATTGATTTAAAGGGGCTGCTCACTACCAAAATACATACATATCAGCTTGACTGTTATGAAACAAAGCTTCACAAAGGTATCGTTACTGATCCTCCCTTGCCTGTGATAATTCTTCCTCTGTCCGCCTCATCTTCTGCATTTCTTGCTCGAGTTGATGAACTCGCTTTTCTGCATCAGCATTGGATAACACTACTTGCTCAAGCTCTTTGATCTGTGCTTCCAGTCTTGCTATTTCTTCACTTTGTTCTTGCACATCTCTCTCCAGGTGTTCCTTTTTAAGCACCAACTCATTGTAGTCATCAGTCTTTGACTGGATCTGTGCTTCCATAGTTTCCACCTTAAGAGAATGTGCACAAATACACTATAAGTCATGAACAAAGAGTTGTAATATGTGTGATTGGGAAAACCAGGTCACTGCTAAAGTTGAAACATTCTGCCATTACATTAGAATTATATTACATTATATGAGAATCATTTTCACTGTGAGAGAAACAAGTTAATAATTGGCTGCTGACCAGTTCTGAGAAATCTGGACAGATTAAAAACAGTAATGGCTTCTTCAGTGATGGACTTGTTTTTTAATGTTAGAAAAAGGACTTACATTTTCTTACAATTATGAATTAAAATTATATTTCCGTATTAATTAGTTCAATCAATCTCAGTTTGCAATAAAATAGAGATGCTATAACTTTCCATGTTTTCTCTTCAGACTCTTCTTGGTAAGTCAGTAGAAAGGGAACTAAAAAGCAAATCAAAAAGGACATTCTTCTAAATTTATTTTATCACAGTAACATGTCAAAGCATCATCTTCCTAAATAGCCATTCAATTCTCTATGAAGACATTAAAATAAGTTCTCAATGCAAGTTTTAAAAATTAATTTACGAGATGTGGGTGTTGCTGGCTGGACCAACATTTACTACTAATCCTTAGATGCCTTTGAGAAGATGGTGGAGAAATGCCATTTTGAACTGCTGCAGTACAAGACCAGATTTAAAGATTCAGGGGGGAGAAATTCTTTGCAGATGATCTCAGCAGAAGTTCAAAGGTTTAACTTTAAATACTCCTGCATCAGTCTGCAAGAATGACCCCAATCTTCTAGTTGTTTGCCATTTCAATACACCAATGTACTGTCACATTAACGGTTCTGTCCTAGGCCTGCTGCAGTATTTCAGTGAAGCCCAACTTGACCTGGAGGAGCAAGCATCTCATTTTTCACTTGGGCACTTTGCAGCCTTCAGGACTCAATGATTGATGTTTGACAACTACAGACAATGAATTCTGTTCTCCAATTTGATGAATCCCCTCCCCCCATGTGTTGCTTACATGCGTTTGCTCTTATCAGCACTGACATTTCATGTGCTATTAACACTGACCATGAACGTCTAATGTTCCATCTGTATTGCTCTTCTATTATCATTAGCACTCCCTTTGCCTTGCTCTGGCCATGCCATCTGTTCCACTTATCCCTCCTCCCTTTCTAACAGTATAAAAATATTACTTTTCCAGTCCCTTCTGAAGTTCTGAAGGATCATATTGGACTCCATTTCTCTCTCCACATATACTGCCAGATCTGCTATATTTCACCAGCACTTTCGGTTTTTATTTCAGTGTTAAAGTCCTCCCCTCAATGAGGGCAAACTGGAACTTGATGGTCTCACCTGCACTTCACAAGATTGATAAAGCAATTCATAGAAAAGCTACTGCAGTTGAAAGCATTACAAGTTTTAGTTCCAGGAGATTACTTAAAACTGTCACCATTGTTCTGGTTGAACAGCTTCTAGCAGTTTCATGGAGGTGGAGGTGTTGACAGTGAAGAATATAATCCAGGACTCAATTATTGCTCTTGGATGAAGATGTTTGCCCAGTTCTCAGAATCAAATTACACAAACAGTTGTTTCAGAGTAGATTTGTAGCTCGGGTTGTTGATGTTGTGGTTGGTTGGCTCGCCAAGCTGATTCGTTGTTCCGTAAACGTTTCATTACCCTGTTGGGTAACATCATCAGTGGAGCCTCCGATGAAGCTCAGTCGTGTTTTCCCGCCTGTTATTTAAACTCTGATGTCTGTTGAGCTGGATTACCTCACTTCTGGTTTTCCGTCGCAATAGAGTGTGTATGGGGTCTAGCTCTATGTATTAATTGATGGCTTTCTTAGTGGAGAACCAGACCTCTAGGAATTCCTGCGCTTGTCTCTGCTTCGCCTGTCCCAGGATCCTGGTGTTGTCCTAATCAAATTGATGGTTTTTCTTATCCATGTGGATGGAGATGAGGGAGTATTGGTCGTGTCTTTTTGTTGCCAGTTGATGTTTGTGTACTCTTGTGATTAATTTCCTTCCTATCTGTCCAATGTAATACTTGTTGCAGTCTTTGCAGGGAATCTTGTGAATGACACTGGTCCTGTCCATGGTGGGTAGTGGGTCTTTGGATCGGGTTAGCAGTTGGCGTAGGGTTGATATGGGTTTGTGTGCTACTCTGATGCCCAGTGGTCAGTTCAGATGTGTTCTTGATGTAAGGTAGCGTGATGAGTTTGTCGGGGCATGTAGTATCTTCCTGGTGTCGTTCGTGTAATAGGCATCTTCTGACCCAGTTTTTTGGGTATCCGCTGTCTTTGAATACTTGGTACTTCTTCTTTTTGGTACAGTTCGGTGTTGCTGCAGTGTGTTATTGCCCGTTTAAATAATGTTCTCACGCAACTTCGTTTGTATGTGTTAGGGTGGTTGCTGTTGAAATTCAGTACTTGGTCGGTGTGTGTGGCTTTCCTGTGTACCTTGGTTAGGAATTCCCCGTTGGTCCTGCGTTCCACCATGACGTCCAGGAATGGGAGCTGTTTGTTCTTTTCCTCTTCTCTGGTGAATCTGATCCTGGAGAGGGGGTTGCTTATTAGTTCATGTGTCTCCTCTAGTTTGATCCATTTAATAATGACGAAGGTGTCGTCCATGTAGCGTACACGTAGTTTCGGTTGGATTAGCAGTAGGGCAGTCTTATTAGAAATGGCAGCACAGTGGTATGCAGAAAGGAGGGCAAGGCCATGGGAATCCTCAACAATGGTCTAGAAATTCAGTGGTCAGACAGTCATTTCTACAATGTAGGATGAAGTTGTGTACCAACAAATCCAACCTAATTGCGACACTCCCCATCCAAACCCTCAACATGCCCTAAGCACACAATTCACTAATTTGACACCCTAATTCCCTCACCCAAAGGCATCTTTCACTCACCTGGCAACCTATCCCATTACTTCGTCAATCACTACCTCAGTCACTATCAAAAAGCTCAAAGGTCCCAAACTACTTGATAAGCATGAGAAAGAGCAGTAAAATGGGACGTGCAATGCTGCTCCTGCACTGAGTCAATTTCTCTGGACGAGCCAGACTCAAAATTCTGACCAGAAAAAATGCTGAGAATTAACTAAATAGCCTTGAATGTGATGACTAATCAGTTAAATCTGTGGTGATAGTCATCAGAATTTCTGGGCATGAAGTCACATACTTCAACAAAAAGAACTTTCTGATTACATCTCACCTGTACTGCCCACCCTTAGCTCAAGAATCTATGCTTCTACATGTTCAGTATTAACTGGAAGAAGCAATGAATGCAGATAGGGGAAAGAGTGTTGTCTATGTGATGGGGTGTGGGCAGTTTAATGCCCATTTGCAAAGGTCGCTTGGGGAAAACTCTACTGACAAAGCTGGCCTAGTTCTGAAGGACATTTCTTTCAATCCATGCTCACAGATGCCAAAAAAAGAAGAGAAAGACCTACTTGACATTCCCCTCTCAACTTATCTGTCCCAAGTGCATCTGTCCATGATAACATTACTAGAATTGACTGTCTTTCAGACCTTGTGGTGATAAAATCCCATCTTCACACTGAGGATACACTCCACCTTGCTTACGGCACTACAACCCTGCAAGAAGGGCCAGATTCTAAACAGATTCAAACTGGGCATCCATGACTCATCATGGACTTTAGACAGCAGCCAACTGTATTCAACCATAATTGAACTTTATTTCCCTGCATATCCTATATGCAGGTGGCTCAGTGGTTAGCACTGCTGCCTCACAGCTCCAGGGACCCGGGTTCAATTCCAGCCTTGGGCGTCTGTGTGGAGTTTGCATATTCTCCGCGTGTCTACGTGGGTTTCCTCTAGGTGCTCTGGTTCCTCCCACATGCTAAAATTGTCCCATAGTGTTCAGGGATGTGTAGATTAGGTGGATTACAGAGGGGTGGGTCTGGGTGGGATGCTCTGAGGTTCAGTGTGGACTTGTTGGGCCGAAGGGCCTGTTTCCACACTGTAGGGATTCTGTTATTCTACTATTACCTTCAAGCTAGGGGACCAACCCTGGTTCAGTGAGAAGTACAAGTCAGCTTGCTAGGGCCAATACAGGGCATACTAAAAATGAAGTTCAAAACAAATCGTGTACCTACCTAAAAGGACTGTGTACATATCAACCAGTGGAAGCATTGTACGAAACACACTATCAATGGATCAGATCAAAGCTCTGCACTCCTAAAACATCATGTTGTGAATGCTGGTGGACCACTAAACTAACTACAGGAGGTGGCTCCACAAACACCTCCACCCTCAGTAACAGAGAAGCCCAAGATGTCAGGTCAAAGGAAAAGGGTGAAACATTTACAAATATTTTGGTCAAATATGCCAAGTGGATGATCCGTTGCAACTTCACCCTGAAGTACCCAGCATTATAAATGCCACTACACATTGGCTCAACATGATATCATAACATAAGTAATGGTGATAGGCAGTAGAGAGAGAATTCAGAGAAGGTTCACTAGCCTGATCCTGATGTGAAGGGATTGTCTTATGAGCAAAGGTTTTTAACAGGTTGGGACTCTATTCCCTGTAATTTAGAAAAATAACAGGTGACCTCATTGAAAAATATAGGATTCTTAAGGGGCTTGACAGGATAAATGCTGAGAGGATTTTTTTCCCTCATGGGAGTCTTGGATCATAGGACATAGTCTCAGAATAAAGGAGTGTCAATTCAAGACTGAGATAAGGAGGAGTTTCTTCTGAGGGCTGAGAGTCTTTGGAACTCCTTGCCATCAAGAGCTTTTTTAAAATTCATTCACAGGATAAGGGTGTCGCTGGCTAGGCCAGCATTTATTGCCCATCCGTAAGTTAAGAGTCAACTATCTGCTGTGGGTCTGGAAGCACATATAGGCCAGACCAGGTAAGGATGGTGGTTTCCCTCCCTAAAGGTCATTAATGAACCACATGGGTTTTTTTGGACAATCACCATTATTAGACTCTTAATTACAGATTTTTATTGAATTAAAATTCTACTATTTGCCATGGTGGGATTTGAACATGGGTTCCT